CTACTCCGGAGCAGGGTCTAACCAGCACAACTGGTACTAATCGTGACGTAAGTAGACATTGATTGGCCAAACGCGTACGAAAACGCCCTCACCCGCCATGATTTAAAACGCCGTGTAAACATACTGTAAACATGTCAACTTATTTCGCAAGTATGGAGAACAGCGATAGATGGACGGACGCTGAAGTGCAGGCACTTGTAGCAAATGTAGCACTGCCAGTTGTCGTTGGAGATTCTTAGTCCTCCTTTCCATTCTTTCAATCGTTTTACGTATACGTCGACTTTCCATGTCCATTATTGTGAAACCCGCGAGACACAACAAAAACACAGCTCCGATCACAGCGTCCTCCATCCTCCTGTTGTTAATGTTGTTCTTCTTTGTTTCTGTTGTTGAACGCCGCGCACAAATGACGTCGCTGTCGACCGGCTTACGTCACTTCTTAGTACACTCTGTCGGTGCGAATGCAACCCTTTAAATAGTACTGGGAAATAGTTCGCGCAAAATCGTCCCAGTACTTTAGTACTGTACATTTAGTTCTGGAACTAAAGCGGTGCGAAAGGCCCTAAAGTCTTAAACAAGAACTGGTAGGACGTTGTGCTGCTCCACTTCACAGATGCTGAGTGAAAGGGTAGTTTTATAATGATGGGACACACATTTATGTCACTTTATTCACCAGGAAGAACAGCTTGTTCCGCGTGCCATACGTCAGTAACCTATTTCTACGTCACTGCGCATGTGCAGTACTTTCCCGTTTCGGTTTTCAATCTGATGAAGTGTTTACATGTCCTCTCGCTCGGATTACAAAAGGAATAAACCACCCATTACAATACAATCCGATCGAAATTTTAGTCGGATCTCGACTGACGTGTTTACATGTGACTTTTTTTATTCTGATTGTGCTTCAAGTCCTATTACAATCGGATTAGTAGGGTCCATGTAAACGCAGCTAATGATAAACTGACTTTAACTGAAAATGTAGTGTTTCTTGCATTATCGACACTATTTTCCTGTTTTAAGGCATGTTCACACCAAGGACGATAACTACAATATAGTTGGAATCACTTTCAGAACGATTTAAAAAAAACCTTGACACCTAATCAGAACCCATCCTGCTATAACGAGAATTTAAAGCAGCAGACGAGCATGCGCGGAGAATAAACAGACGATATTGTTAGCTGGTGTGGACGCTAATATCGTTATCTTTATCGTTCTTGTTGTCAACGGGGCTTTGCTGCTTTGACACAATCTTTATCGTAAAAAAAGCTGTATAATTAAATAAAGGTGACCGTATATAGCCTACACACTAATTTGACATTTTTGAAAAATACCCTTGTCCTGAAGTTCACCATGCTTAAATGTATAACATGGTGGATTCATTTTGCTGACTTTAACCAAACAGCTACAGCAGTAATTTGGAGGACATAACAAAATAAACAAAACAAAAAACGTGGGTTTCACATTGTGTGTATATTTATTAGTGATGTTAGGTTCTTGAACGAATCGTTCTTTTGAGCCGGTTCTCAGGAAGTAACCGGTTGAGCGGGTTCACAAATCGAACTGAATCGAACTTTAGTTCCGGGTTGATGACGCAGGACGCACAGCCCGAAGTACCACATCCAACTCAAAAAGAACCGATTGAACTGGTTCAACCAACTGTCGAAGTTTGCCGAGGATTACAGAAGATTCTGGTTGAGTTGACGATACTGTGCAAGCCTGAAGCGTGTACTGGAAATATGCTTATGACTGTTATTAATTTACATTTTATTAAAACCTTATTGTGCATGCATATTATATACAAGTTGCTTAAGTGAAATCAAGGAGTTTATAAGACTGGTTTATTCATTCTTTATACTGTAGACACGTAGAACATATCCGTGTTTGTGCATCAGTGTCTGTAATGTGTGAAACTTTTAGGAATCTTATCCGAGTTGTAGGCTAGTCAATATTGGTCAGTCAGTAATATCTGACATAAAGGATCAGCGAATGAAACTGTGACCACAAACACCATTAACTTAAGTGAATTATATGGCAATAATCAACAATATGCTTTCACACAAATAACTTTATTTTTGGAATGTTTCAATACGTGTTGACACAAATTACTTATTAGAATTTTTCATTGATACAACATGGCACTGAGTTGCTAGAGAAGAAATGCGTAGAGACGTTATTGCTTGATGACGTCAGGAACCGATGAATCGGCTTTTTGAACCGGTTCAATGAGCCGATCTGTCCGAAAAAGAACCGGTTCGCAGAAATGAATCGGACTTTGCATCACTAATATTTATGTGTTCACTATGATATCCTCACCCAGCATGTTAAAGATGAAGTCTTTGGCCGTGTGCACCTCGAGTGCGGTCTGGTCTCCAAACTCCCCCTGTTCCAGCTGCACCAGCTCCTGCACCTGAGCCGACAGCTGCTCCAGAGTCGTGCCCGAGCGGAAGTCCACCTCAGACCCCCGCTTCACCGTCGCCGGTGCACGCGGGGCCACAGCACTCATGAGTGTCTCCATTGAGCATTTCCTGAGAGAAACCACATCAATATTACCAAACAGTCACAAAATCATCTCACTTATACTCAGTGTTGGGGTAACGCATTACAAGTAACGTGAGTTACGTAATCAGCTTACTTTTTTCAAGTAACTAGTAAAGTAACGCATTACTTTTTTAATTTACAAGAGAATATCTGAGTTACTTTTTCAAAAAAGTAATGCCAGTTACTTTGTTTTCCCATTTATTGACTGACAGCTCTCCTGTCCCCATATTGGGAGAAATCGGAAGTGCAGAGGAGTTGTGTGCGCTGTGTGAACCTGATGTTACTGTAGTTCTAGACTAAATGTGAATGTGCATTAATTCATCCCACTCACAAAAAACAGATTTAGTATTCATCAAAATGAATTCAAACAGTGAAATGCAAACTCAGAATATGACGCAAACCTGCAATAATTAAATATGTTAAATAACACAAATGTATCTAATCCCATTTTATTAACCAGTGTCTTTGCTGCTGACCTTTGATGATCCAGTTCAACCGTACTAATAAGCAAAAATGACTTTAGATAAACTAACAATTGTGCTTCATTGTTTTTTTTATTGCTGAATGTTTGAGTGTTTCTTCTCCTGTGTTCTACTGTACAGACATGAATTTACTTCATTCAGCATGAGGTTTATTCATTACTTTTTGGTGTAAAAGGGCTTTTAACTTCTTATATTAAAAATAATCAAGCCCTGCTCATATTTAAAAAGTAACGTGAAGGTAATGCAAAAGTAATGTAACGCATTACTTTCGATAAAAAGTAACTAAGTAATGTAATTAGTTACTTTTTTAGGGAGTAACGCAATATTGTAATGCATTACTCTTAAAAGTAACTTTCCCCAACACTGCTTATACTTATGAATATCAACGACTCGTTATAAATGTATGCATTTTAATGATAAAATCGTAGTCTCCGAATGAAGGCTTTTTACTTTGCTAACTATGCGAGTGCCTAGATGTGGATTTTTTTGTATTTTGCAATAGGATCTGCTTTTTTGACATTTTAATGATTAGTTTTAACTATTTATTACTTATTTTAAACATGTCTCACCATTAAATGATAAACACACTAAACTGCTGATGCAGAAACAAAATAGCATTTACTCAGTACCACTAATTACCCAACTCAAACTCAGATTAATGTTTAATACCGCCTAAATAGTTAAACGCAGGTTATTATTAACAGCGGCTGAAGCGGAATGTGGGTCAGTGGGCAGATTAATCAGCTAATTAGCCAGCTAATGTCTCTCTCCCTGTTGAAAAAACCAGCATATGCTGGTTAGGTATGTTTTGACGCTGGGATGCTGGTTTAAGCTGGTCCTTTGCTGGTCCTTTGCTGGTTTATGCTGGTCCTTTGCTGGTCCTTTGCTGGTTTAAGCTGGTCCTTTGCTGGTCCTTTGCTGGTTTATGCTGGTCCTTTGCTGGTTTACGCTGGTCCTTTGCTGGTTTATGCTGGTCCTTTGCTGGTTTATGCTGGTCCTTTACTGGTCCATGCTGGTTCTTTGCTGGTCCATGCTGGTTCTTTGCTGGTTTAAACTGGTTTATGCTGGTCCTTTGCTGGTTTATGCTGGTCCTTTGCCCGCACATGACCAGCATAAACCAGCAAAGGACCAGCGTAAACCAGCAAAGGACCAGCGTAAACCAGCAAAGGACCAGCGTAAACCAGCAAAGGACCAGCGTAAACCAGCAAAGGACCAGCGTAAACCAGCAAAGGACCAGCGTAAACCAGCAAAGGACCAGCGTAAACCAGCAAAGGACCAGCGTAAACCAGCAAAGGACCAGCGTAAACCAGCAAAGGACCAGCGTAAACCAGCAAAGGACCAGCGTAAACCAGCAAAGGACCAGCGTAAACCAGCAAAGGACCAGCGTAAACCAGCAAAGGACCAGCGTAAACCAGCAAAGGACCAGCGTAAACCAGCAAAGGACCAGCGTAAACCAGCAAAGGACCAGCGTAAACCAGCAAAGGACCAGCGTAAACCAGCAAAGGACCAGCGTAAACCAGCAAAGGACCAGCGTAAACCAGCAAAGGACCAGCGTAAACCAGCAAAGGACCAGCGTAAACCAGCAAAGGACCAGCGTAAACCAGCAAAGGACCAGCGTAAACCAGCAAAGGACCAGCGTAAACCAGCAAAGGACCAGCGTAAACCAGCAAAGGACCAGCTTAAACCAGCATCAAAACATACCTAACCAGCATATGCTGTTTTTTTCAACAGGGTCTCTAGCGAAACAACTGATCCACTTGACAGGTCATTATTATAAACATAGCGACACTTCTGAAATATGCCATCTAAGCAAGAATTCCCCGTGACATATGTGCTGTATGAGAGGGAATAGATTGTTTTCTTGTGATAAACGAGCATGAGATGCGTGAAGACCAAGCAGCCCAAATGAGCCGACTAGCAGCTGTGCAGCGAGCTAACGTGCTAACCAGTTAAACACCTCTAGATTCAGCGATGACTTTCGTTGTTTATGGTTTACACACACCCTGTTTACCGCTGGCTCGGTGCGCTCTGCCTTAGACCCCGGGTTGTTTGTTGTAATTTCTTTTCTGAAACAGGATTTCAGCTCGAGTCATTTCCTACAGGTCCTCCTGCGCGCGCCTTCACTGGCAAACTATTCCCGGAAATCACGGACCTCCTCCGAGGATCTTGGGATTAGTAGTATTTTTTTTAACGGGACGCAAATGTATGCAGGCCATTAGTTGCAATCATACAAAAGAGTAAACTATGTATGTGCACTGATTTATGTCTCACAACAATCATTCGCAGTTGTTGGTAAATTCTATTCTGTTTAAATTCTGCGTTTTTTCACTCTTCTATTATAAATCTATTTACAAATATTATATTAGCCTATATTATATTATAATTTAGTTTGATTTTGAAGCAAGGATAGAAATGATCATTGGTAAAAAAGTGGAAACACTCCTAAAAGGCAGCTACATTTTTAATAATTATGATGTTATTTGAAAATGTAAACTTTTTTTGAAAGACATTTATCTTATGAAGGATTTAAAATAAATTTGGTTGAACTTTCTGTTCTTCAAAGAACCTTGAAAAAAAATGCATCTCAGTTCCCACAAAAAAGCAGCACACCTGTTTTTAACATCAACAACAACAATAAAAAGTTTCAGCATTAGAATGTGGACCATGTGACACTGAAGACTCAAAATTCAGCATCGTCATCCCAGAAATAAATTACACTTTAAAATACACTGAAATAGAAAACGGCAATTGTAAAAAAAAAAAAATATATATATATATATATATATTTTTAAAGACCATATTGTAAAGTGTTACCAAAATTGAAAAAGTCTAGAAGCGTTACTTTACTCGTTACTTGAAAAAAGTAATCTGATTACATAACTCACGTTACTTGTAATGCGCTACCCCCAACACTGTATATATATTTCACAATATTACTGTTTGTTACAGTTTGTTTTAATGCAGCTAAAAATCCTTTCAAAAACATAAAAAAGAACCATGAACAGTGGTGTATTTGTATCTGGCTAAAAGAATAAAAAACCCTAGAAAGATACACAAACATTTTCATTACTTAAAAAAAAAAAAAAAGATTTTAGAAACCATAATATTAACTGTAATTTTTTGATTAAAGGGTATCACTTCTGCACTAATGTATGTGATTGCTTTGAGGTGGCTGAATGTTTTCCCCAGATTTGGAGTTGTTTTGTTTTGGTGATCTAGTCTGCAACCTGAAAAAGTTTGAGAACTGCAACTCTGTCCTTTAGATTGAGGGAACAAGCTTTTAAAAGACAGACACCGTGGACTCCAGTCAAATGCTCCCCTGACAGCTTTTAAACTCCTCGGCTCGAATACTTTTTTCCAGGAGGTGAAGAGTGATCAAAAGATTTTCAAAACCCTCGCCAGCTCTCCCTGTCCCATTCCTACCCCCTCTGCTGTGGTGTGACCTTCAAATACCTCCGCCTTTGAAGCAGCATCTGAGATGCTGACAGCGCAGATAATTGATGTCGTGGAAGAAACGGAGGAGGCCAAAGACAGCAAGGTGCTTTTAATTCTACACTTCTGCAGCATCACTCTCTCTGCAACATCCCCAACAGCTCTACACCTTCTAATTAACGACTGAACCCTGTAATCTAATGCGCATATAATTATATCTTCATTTATAATACAAACTCTTCTGCATTCAGTTCTTTAATCAAGCTTTTGTACTTACACAATCCACATGCCTCTTATGGCCATATTTATGGCACAAAAAGGCTGGACGGCAGTACAAATGAGATTTTAATATTGAAGAATGTTTAGTGTTTAGTTTGGAAGCAGCACACCAGAAAGAATGACAATCTTTTTGGACTGACATGTTGAAATTGTATTAGTAATCTTCTGCGGGATGTGCTGTTATGATTGACGCCACAAAAAAAAGAGAACCTAACCTCCCACACCTTCAGATGACGTCGCTTTCGACAACTGGGGTCACTCTACATCTGACTGGGAACTGAATTGGCACTGCCCACACAAGCGATGGAAAATGCAAAATGTCAGTTGGTGCTCAGGAGAGGAGGTTAAGCCACATGAATACCGACAAAGAGAGGCTTCATCTCCCATGAGTCGCAATTAACAGTATCTACCTCACTGCCACTGACCGCTTCTTACCCAATTGAAGCGAAACCGAGTTATAAGTTGCTTGCCCACAGACTGCCCCTTAGATGCTGGTTCAAACACAAAAAGATCATTCAAGCGCGATGAGAATTTAACGACCGAATGACCACAGGGCCACTGCAATGTATTGGTTGCTTTAAACATTGATTTTTACTGGCTGCATCTATCCAGACCGAGCCAGGGAGGAGACACTCAACACGGCCTCATGAAGCAGAGCGTGATACGCCTTTATGGATTTTAACGAGGAGACCCTGATCTGACTTCAGTAATGGGCGACTGGTGAAATTCCCAGCGCTATTGAAATGTCAGGGAGGAAGAGGAAACAAGCAAGAAACTTTTCAAAACAGGCTTCAGCTTGGAGATGCCAAAATCAGATCTAATTATACATGCATAACTGAAAATGCCTTTATGTTGTTCGGTCCTTCAAGTATAAGCATGAATGTCTGTCTTTTTACAAGCACAGAGAAATTTCTTATTCTTCCATCAGGAAAGTGAAGAGGAGACTAAAGTGGTGATTGCCTTGCCCTGATTTGCATGGCTCTGCTAATAGCCCAAGTTAATGAGGGTTTTACGAGTGGTGTGATCACTTTATTGGGACGTGCGGCGTCAATAGAAGCCTTTCGCCTCAATAGAGTTGGCTTATGAGGCTGCCCTTGCAAATTGACCTGAGGATTTATAAAGCAATTTTCAAAGGTCCCCAACCCAGCTATGTGTCGACAGTCACAGGCTCTAGAATTAGAACCTCATTTTATTTCATTTGAATAAAGATAAGTTTGGACACTAGAAGTGCTAAAAGTGAGGTCGCCAATAATGAACTGCTTTGTACTGTCATACTTACAGGATCAGAGCCCTAAGGCTATTGAGATCTTGACCTGGGAGAGACATTCAGAGAAACATTTCCTCCAATATCAGAAGGTCAAACTGGCAATCAGCTTTGCAGACAGCTTTATTTTTTCAAACAGAGGAAAAGCATGTACATACACTTTCAAGACATGAACAAACCCAGAGTGTGACTCATTCACTCTCAGTAATAAGCCACAAAGGAAAGCTTCTCAAAAGTGTTTTCCCCCCCCATGCTGACAAAATAAAGATGCCTGTGACAGTGTGGAGAACAAAAAAGAATTATGTTTGATCCCAAGGCCTTATCATCACTTTCCAGACATGACTGAAAAGGGGTTAGATAAGATGTGAAATTCTCCACCTCTTTCTTTTTCAGTCAACCTATAGCTCCTTATGTACATACACTTTCAAGACATGAACAAACCCAGAGTGTGACTCATTCACTCTCAGTAATAAGCCACAAAGGAAAGCTTCTCAAAAGTGTTTTTCCCCCCCATGCTGACAAAATAAAGATGCCTGTGACAGTGTGGAGAACAAAAAAGAATTATGTTTGATCCCAAGGCCTTATCATCACTTTCCAGACATGACTGAAAAGGGGTTAGATAAGATGTGAAATTCTCCACCTCTTTCTTTTTCAGTCAACCTATAGCTCCTCTTTTCATGTTGAAATGACAAAACAGAACATAATCGCTGAGAATGTTAAAACAACAGGGTCATGGTCTGCCAAATGGAGTCAGAGTTCAAAGAGCCATCGCAGCCCAGCCAACGATGAGCAATGAGCCTCCAATTGGTGCCAGCTTGCTGAAACTGGGGTCATTGGTTAAGGCCTGGTGGTAGAGGGGACCACAGAAGCAGCCCATCCCAGCGAGGAGGATTGCCCCCGCCTTGAGAAAAAGAAAAAAAAAAAGAAGCGCGTGTTAATTTATGTGATTGCTACTGGTTTGTTCCTTATCAAAGTCATTTGGGTCTCAATATAAACTCTACTTAAGCTTTGGTGCTTTATTCAATTCATTTCAAATCAACAGACACTTTGTTCCGTGGAGGTCATCAAGCAAAGTACAGCATGAGCATCATTCTTCTACTACTCTATTCATTTGCTTTCAGCCTGACAATGATCAAAAGGTGTTTATTATGTGAATTTAAACATGAAATTAATATCGTTTAAACAGTGTAGATTGATCATACATGCAGACAATGGTAACAAATCAAATAGAGTGCAAGGTGTCAGGTTTGATATCAGTGATGTTCAATCAGTAGAAACTCATAAATCAGTGACATTTGATTATGTCACTGACGTTCAGTCCAGAAGTCAGAGTGGCAGGTTACCATGGGCTGCATATAAAACCACATTCTTCACCATATAGTAGGTAACTAACGGTTTATGAAAAGAGTTGAATGACTGAAAAACAGTTTAGCAGGCAAAAGAGTAGGCGAAAAATACCCTGACGACTTACTAGTTCTGGTGAGATTCTGAAGTGCACATCCCGATGGACACTTTACTATCCCATGAGGACTTATGAATAGCAGTAAAGTGACTTATTCTGATAACATTCACACTACACACATTCATAGCCAAACAGAACATTTTTAGCGGCCGTGGACTACTTACTTAAAACAAGTACCTACTCAGAGAATATGAGATTTCAGCCATTTTCCAGTTTTGCCCTGAAGGTAGATGCCATATACACCCTTATAAAGGGGTGAAAGCATATTTCTCTACTGATATACATTTTAAAGTATCCAAGCACTGTAATGAAATTATTTATTTTTTGTTTCACAGAAAATGTAACAGCATACAGGTTTGCAATAACATTATTATCACAATGACATTATTATTCACTATCATAGATAGATTACGGTTTAACAATGCACAAAGTGCAGGTGACTTGTATCTCCCCGTCCCTAAAAGGATTAGACATGATATAGACATGATATATTGATCTACTATTTAATAATGTGAGAAACAAGAGACCACAGAAGGATAGGACAGACATAAAATGCTGCTATTAGGAAATCGGTTGCCTGGGACCACTGCTAATTTATACGATTTAGAATAATTAAGACAATATTACATACAGTGGGGCAAAAAAGTATTTAGTCAGCCACCAATTGTGCAAGTTCTCCCACTTAAAAAGATGAGAGAGGCCTGTAATTTTCATCATAGGTATACCTCAACTATGAGAGACAAAATGAGAAAAAAAAATCCAGAAAATCACATTGTAGGATTTTTAAAGAATTAATTGGTAAATTCCTCGGTAAAATAAGTATTTGGTCACCTACAAACAAGCAAGATTTCTGGCTCTCACAGACCTGTAACTTCTTCTTTAAAAGGCTCCTCTGTCCTCCACTCGTTACCTGTATTAATGGCATCTGTCTGAACTCGTATCAGTATAAAAGACACCTGTCCACAACCTCAAACAGTCACACTCCAAACTCCACCATGGCCAAGACCAAAGAGCTGTCAAAGGACACCAGAATCAAAATTGTAGACCTGCACCAGGCTGGGAAGACTGAATCTGCAATAGGTAAGCAGCTTGGTGTGAAGAAATCAAATGTGGGAGCAATTATTAGAAAATGGAAGACACACAAGACCACTGATAATCTCCCTCGATCTGGGACTCCACGCAAGATCTCACCCCGTGGGGTCAAAACGATCACAAGAACTGTGAGCAAAAATCCCACAACCACACGGGGGGACCTAGTGAATGACCTGCAGAGAGCTGGGACCAAAGTAACAAAGGCTACCATCAGTAACACACTGCGCCGCCAGGGACTCAAATCCTGCAGTGACAGACGTGTCCCCCTGCTTAAGCCAGTACATGTCCAGGCCCGTCTAAAGTTTGCTAGAGAGCATTTGGATGACCCAGAAGAGGATTGGGAGAATGTCATATGATCAGATGAAACCAAAATAGAACTTTTTGGTAAAAACTCAACTTGAGGAGAAAGAATGCTGAGTTGCATCCAAAGAACACCATACCTACTGTGAAGCATGGGGGTGGAAACATCATGCTTTGGGGCTGTTTTTCTGCAAAGGGACCAGGACGACTGATCCATGTAAACGAAAGAATGAATGGGGCCATGTATCATGAGATTTTGAGTGAAAACCTCCTTCCATCAGCAAGGGCACTGAAGATGAAACGTGGCTGGGTCTTTCAGCATGACAATGATCCCAAACACACCACCAGGGCAACGAAGGAGTGGCTTCGTAAGAAGCATTTCAAGGTCCTGGAGTGGCCTAGCCAGTCTCCAGATCTCAACCCCATAGAAAATCTTTGGAGGGAGTTGAAAATCCGTGTTGCCCAGCGACAGCCCCAAAACATTACTGCTCTAGAGGAGATCTGCATGGAGGAATGGGCCAAAATACCAGCAACAGTGTGTGAAAACCTTGTGAAGACTTACAGAAAACGTTTGACCTCTGTCATTGCCAACAAAGGGTATATAACAAAGTATTGAAATGAAATTTTGTTATTGACCAAATACTTATTTTCCACCATCATTTGCAAATAAATTTTTTAAAAATCCTACAATGTGATTTTTCTGGATTTTTTTTCTCATTTTGTCTCTCATAGTTGAGGTATACCTATGATGAAAATTACAGGCCTCTCTCATCTTTTCAAGTGGGAGAACTTGCACAATTGGTGGCTGACTAAATACTTTTTTTCCCCACTGTAACAGAATACTGCTACTGTCCATCAACAATAAAATATCTCAAACAGCCATATATTTGAAAGGTATAGTAGACATAAGGGATGTAATGTAAAAAATGAATTCTGATCAATTTGGGACACTTTGTGACAGTTAGGTGACTGAATTTACCTGAAATCAGCCTATATTTTAATGATATCAGTAATTACTGTAGATCTCATTACACCGATTTCAGTTTAGAGATGTTTGTGTTAATGTAAGAATGATGATAAAAGGTGTTTACCAGAGCAGGTTTTCTACAGCGAGCAGCTCCTAACAATGCCAGACTGTGGTAGATGTGATACTTGTTTGCTGTATCATACAACTGAAGAGACAAAAAGAACAGAAAAAAATTAAACATTGGCTAAAAGTGTTGCACCTTATTCTAAAAAATAAAACAAAAACACTATCAATAATGCATGACATTCATAAGGTTTCCTCCGTTTTAAAAGCCAATAATGTAGGTTATGTAGTAAAACTATTTGGTATATTACTTCCGACCCCATACTATGGAAGCCTAAAGCCCAATTTCAGTGTTTGCAAACAGTGATGACGCTTTTTTTGTGGGCGGAGTCTATAAGGTGGCAGAAAATGACAGTTTTAACGTAGCAGTCTATGCAAGCCATGGAATAAAAGAATAAAAAATGTCATTTTGAGTTTGTATTTCAAAATTCTGACTTTTTTCTTGCAATTCCGAGATTATTTCTGACTTCTGATAAGAAAAATCAACTCGTCATTCTCTCTTTTCCCCTCGGTTCAGAATCATGAGTTTATAATCCCACACTTTCGACTTTTATTCCTCAGAATTGACAAACTCGCAATTGTGGAGTTGAATCAATTTTTAAAGTCCAAGCTAGGAGATATACACTTGCACTTGCAAGGAAAAAAAGTCAGAATTGTGATATAAAATAGTTAAATGTTATAGGTTTAAATACTATTTCATGCTTTAACTGTAGGGCTAATACAATATGTCCCCTATGTGAATATTATATAGACCTATTGTTTAAGTATGCTTTAAAAGTAGGATAATCATAGCAGGTTTCATCCATAGTCTGTCCGTTTAAACTTCTGCGTTCAGCTTCAGGTTGACGACAGTATTATATAAAAATGATTTCCATTCCAATTCTGACATCCAAAAGCACAACAATATATTTTTTCTCTTATTCCTTGGATTTTACCCATTTCCCTCCACTTGTTCCCAGTGTTTTTCTGCCACCACAATGCGCGCGCAGCTGCAAGTGACGTAACTGTGACGTCTACTCCCGACAAACAAGAAAAAAAAACATACCCTGTGTCTCAATGTTCATACTATCCATCCTAAATAGTATGCGAGATTAGAATTAGTGTGTCCTAAAGCATAGTATGTTGAAAAGAGTACGCCAAAAGTCCCCGGATGGTCTACTATTTCAGATTGATTTTTGAAGTGTGGATCCGTGCACACTCTAATGGCTAATATTGCCCACAATCCATTGCGCTTTGGTGAAGGATTCTGTCCAGAACTACAAACACGAATAAAACGCATTAACTACAAACATGGCGGATGTGCGTGACTGGCGGTAGAGAGGCTTATGGTGCGTTTCCACTGGCACGTAGCGAGCGCAGCGGAGCGAGCATTTTCAATTAATTCCTATGGAAGTTGAGCTTAAACGCTCACGCGGTGTATTATGGGATTGAAAGCAGCGTGGAGAAAGCGTCGACAGCGGCTGAGAGCCTCAAAAAGATTGGGCATTCCTTGACTTTATGCAAATGTCGAGCAAAAAACGCCGGGCGACAACCAATCGCTGTGAAAGGAAGATGAAGAAATGTAAACAGGGTGTTTTTCAGAGGCGTGCTCCGCCCTCAGCTGCAAGTGACGTAACTGTGACGTCTACTCCCGACAAACAAGAAAAAAATACATACCCTGCGTCTCAATGTTCATACTATCCATCCTAAATAGTATGCGAGATTAGAATTAGTGTGTCCTAAAGCATAGTATGTTGAAAAGAGTACGCCAAAAGTCCCCGGATGGTCTACTATTTCAGATTGATTTTTGAAGTGTGGATCCGTGCACACTCTAATGGCTAATATTGCCCACAATCCATTGCGCTTTGGTGAAGGATTCTGTCCAGAACTACAAACACGAATAAAACGCATTAACTACAAACATGGCGGATGTGCGTGACTGGCGGTAGAGAGGCTTATGGTGCGTTTCCACTGGCACGTAGCGAGCGCAGCGGAGCGAGCATTTTCAATTAATTCCTATGGAAGTTGAGCTTAAACGCTCACGCGGTGTATTATGGGATTGAAAGCAGCGTGGAGAAAGCGTCGACAGCGGCTGAGAGCCTCAAAAAGATTGGGCATTCCTTGACTTTATGCAAATGTCGAGCAAAAAACGCCGGGCGACAACCAATCGCTGTGAAAGGAAGATGAAGAAATGTAAACAGGGTGTTTTTCAGAGGCGTGCTCCGCCCTAAATTTGAAATGCCCCAAAGCAGTGGCGTTGTAGTGTTGCCAGCAGCACTGAGCGCAGATTTGATGCTGTAGTGGAAACGCACCGTTAGAAAAAGGGGTTTGAGTTACTAATATTCAACATTTAACCTGGTAAAAAAAATATTTATTTAATGTTATCTGTGTTATATTTCATCTGCAACAGCAATATAAACTTTTATAAACATCCGTTTGGTCGTTAACTTTTAAATGCATCATTATGCATAAAATATGAGCGGAGTTCTCGGCATGAAAGACCCACGATTGGCAGATCAATGTGCTACTTCTTTTCTCTCCAATACGGTAGGAAGTTCAATGAAATGCAATGTGGAGGATGTTAACTGTGATAAGATGAGTGACAGGCCAGTTTACAGTGACAGGGTGCGTGTATCTATGCGACCGAGCGTCCGTTAAAGGGGTCATATGATGCGATTTCAAGTTTTCCTTCCTCTTTGGAGTGTTACAAGCTCTTGGTGCATAAAGAAGATCTGTAAAGTTGCGAAGACTAAAGTCTCAAATCCAAAGAGATATTCTTTATAAAAGTTAAGAGTCAGCCACGCCTGCCTAAAACGCCTCGTTCTAACACGCCCCCACATGTCTACATCACTATGTGGAAGATTTGCATAACGCCACCCAAATGTTCACACAAAGAAAGAAGGCGTAACTTTTATTCTCGCTGTAGTATTGTTGCTGCCGCTGCCGCCATGTCGTGAAGACGCTGTGTGATTCGTTGTGTTTGTTTGGTCTTCCAAAAGAGGACGATATCTGCTTCATCATGCCTAGAGCTGATCCGTGCTGGTTGCTGAGGAAATACATCAACTTTGCGCTGTGGATTGCCAGATCGGCTTTCACCGTGGACGAAGCGGAGTCCAGCCCGGGGTCGTCACATGTGGTTGCCGCAAGCAACGCACCTCACTTTTCAGACCGATGAGCTTTGTAAAAATCAACGCATTTCAGAAAGGCGGGGCATAGAGGAGCAACAATAATGTACAGTATGTGGAAAATAATGTGTTCTTTGAGCCTTAAACCGCATAAACACATTGCATTACACCAAATACACAAAATAATGTTCTTTTTATCAGCATCATATGACCCCTTTAAAGACGCAGTTGTATGATGTGATAGTATGTCCCAAAGCTTGCCTACTCTTCTACTACACACTCAAAAGTGTGTACTTTTTCTTCACCAAAAGAGTACATACTTTAAGGGCGTAGTATAAGTAGGCTCACTAAGACGCAGCAATGCTTTGCTAAATCTTAATTACATAAAAGTTGACATTATGAGATAAGAAGTCAATTATGATATAAAATATTCATGAAATATAAAGTCACAATTAATACATAAACATCAAAATGAAGTCAGAGGATTAAGATTTATTAAGATAAAGGGGCTAAGTCATAATTGTGACAGTTAAAATTTTTCACAATTATGACAAACATTCTTTTAGAGTTTATTTATTGTTTATCAATTTTTTTTTTCTAATTTGGAGGAAACTGACTTTCACAACAAGGTGCTGTCTATGTACAAAACAAAACAGTTTCCCATTTAATAATTTCGACAAGATGAAAAGAGTGACAAAGCAACAGAACATAATGGCCAAATATACTCACCTCTCTCTGGTAATCACTGGCTTCACTGTGTCTGAATCCTGCCCAGGAGAGAAAGACACGAAAGAGTTGCAGAAAGGCTTTATACAACTTTCAGAAAACGCTCACTGGCGTGCGCTCGGTCGCGTTCGACCTGTCAAGTGCCCAGTAGTTTTTGCCTGACCAGACCCATCAGCCAAATAAAACACAAAGGAGACCTACCGTGAGCTCCATATGCACCTGCTGCGACAGCAAGAGCTCCAGAAATCCCTGCTACCCTCTGGACCAGCGAAGCGGCGTTCATGGCTCCTGAAGTAACCAGGGAACAACTGTAAGCTCATGCAGGAAACTGATGTCATTACGGATCTAACAGGAAGAATGACGCTATCTACTCGTAATTACGAGCGCTGAGCCAAGATGGCGTCCACAGGCACAGCTTCACATCACGTGAGCGTTCCGGTAAAGCTTTTCAGTGAAGTGACAATGAACTAGTTAAGATCAAACAAATTACACGATATGGTAAGTGCAACAATTAAAATAGAATAATAATGACTTATTTGTTTAAAATAGTACACTTTGCGCAAAGGTGCTTTTTCATTCAAGGTCACAGAAACGCCTAGGCCTTAATAACAATATCTACATTACATTACATTTATATGTTATAATTATTTAATTTCTTTCTTAGATGTGCAACCCCATATTTTGGAACACCGACATGCGACTGCCGTGGCCCTCATTCACTTTTTCATCAAACAAGCTCTCTACCTTGGCCGTATGAGTATGAATTATTAATAATCCGCCATTTCACTTCAGAAAAGTTGTTAAATCTAATTCTCGTGGTTCATAGGTTCGTGCACATCTCTATATTCTAGACAAAACGCAGACTTGTTAATAAACATTCTAAATCCAGAAAAATTATATGAAAACTGTTGTATTTTCTTATGAATATTTGCAGTCTTTTTAGAGTATGTACGGTTTTAATTCCTCTGTTCGACTGTTGGGGGAATAAAGCCATTTTGGAGCTGGTTTAGGATTTCTCTCAGTGTACTAAAGCAGGCATGAGGGCTTTTAGTGTCCAGTGAGGGGTGCTGTTTTACTTTGACTGTCTTTCAAACCTCTGTAAAACTTCTGTGGGTGTACAAAATAAGGCCTTAATATCTAGAAAATAAAAAAATTTTAAATCCTGTCCTTGAGTAAAAACAAGGTTTTGGTCCAAATTTGTAATGCACACAAAATAATTAACAACCCACAAAACAAAACAAAGTGTTTAGTCCAGGGCTGTCCAAGCTCGGTCCTGGAGGGCCGGTGTTTTTTAACATTTATGGGCATTCTTACCTTTATAAAGCCTTTTTTTTTCTAAAAGTGTACATCATCTTTTGAGTCAAATTCTTACATTTAATCAGTCAATTATAATAATAATACATTTAGGCTGTTACTAAACAAATTAAATCAGTATCAGTACAATTAATCTTTGCAGAAGTTTTATATGAAGTGGCATTTAGATGCATTTACACATGTTAATGCAGCTTAGAGGGACATGGGATGCTTTAACCTGCAGTTACAAATGCATAAATAATGTTTTGATATTTAAAACATGAAATGTTGAATACTGATATTTGAAATTATTAAAAAAATGAAAAGATCCTTTAAATGTGAAATTAAAACCGCCAGTAGGTGGCAGCAAGTCACTGTTAATAAGTGAGTAATTGCGATTGAACCGAATCATTTAAACGGTTGATTCATTCAGGAACAAAACAAAGTCATGCTGCTTAGAGACGCGAAACAGTACTGTTCCTGTGTTTGGAATGTTTTTTGTTGGCGAAATAGCACAGAAATAGCGCAAAAACAGCCAATATGGTGTCTAAAACGTAAGTCTCTAGATATTAACTTATTGTTTATTGAACTGTTGTATAAAATAAATATCACATTTGTAACCATGCTGATTTTTTAAAGAAAAAACGGCACTCTTCGTGTGATATTGATTAACTATATGAACTGATATAAATATATACATTTTCTGCCTCCTTATCTTGAAGTATGTGATCATTGTTAATGCATATTAATAGACTGAATCATGCAGCGAAAGAGCGCACTATAAAAGCTCACGCGCACTAAAGCCTGTGTTGGTCTACTAACCAGACTTCATCTCGTCGCGTATGCATGCCTCTGTAGGTGTGTTTTGTTTAGCTTTTGCAATATACTCGATAAAGTCATGATGTCTCACGAGTTCAGTATTTGCGCTAAACCTGCACAGATTTGACCTGCATGAACTTCCCAAGAAATGAATGAGTGAACATAATTTACGAAAAGTAACCCGCCAAATTGGCTAGTAATTTGACAGCGTTACCCGCCACAGCTGATTTTTACCTGCATTTGGCGGGTTGGCGGGTGTTAATTTCAAACCCTGCCTATAATACAGTATATGGCATTTTTCATAGAACTTTCCATTGACCTTTGTGTTTACGCTCACACAAACCATTTTTATTATTATGTATGTTTTGTAAGCCGTTTTCCATGTGATGGCGGTTGGCTGGTCCCTGTGATGTACACTGTAAAAAAAATTCCATAAAATTTACGGTAAAAAAACGGCAGCTGTGGTTACCGGAATTTTACCGTAAAAAATACGGTAGCAACGTTTTAGGTTTTACGGTTTAAACTTAAATTTACAGTTAAATACCGTAATTTCATTAACTGATATAATATTAACATACCAACCTACTGAAGTACTGAAATCTGTTTTGTACCTTTGTAACACACTGATACCCACCCAATGCAGGAGGTGATGAGAAAGTCACATGATGAATCAAAGCCCATCACAAGCAGTTTTTAAATAATACCATACATAGAAGGTGCACAGTGTCATTCACACAAACGCTAAACACCATCACGGTAACACACATGACACTGAAATCATTCAATAAACATTAATTTAACAGCATAAGGTGTAACACACAACCCTAATATACAAAACTGATAAGAAAAAACTAAGAAGGAACATAGTTATTTCAACAAAACAACATCAAATTTGAAATGTAACGCAGGGAATTCTGGGAATGTCAGTTTACGGTTATTCACTGTAAATTATACGGTATTTTTCACTTCCAAAAACGGTATACTACCGTAAAATTTATGTCCAATACATGTAATGTCCAATACAGTTTTTCACCGTATATAGTAGGGGAATTTACCGTTAACCATTTGACAGGTTTTTACTGTAGCATTTTTACAGTCTTTTACCGTTAAATTCATGGTCATTTTTTACAGTGTAGGTGAGTTCATATTTTACTGTCCCAGTGGTGAGATTTGGTCCCCAAAATGTAGGCAAAGCCTGACCCACTTGTAGATGAACCTCTTTGGCAGTATTAGTGTATAAGATGATATTTGTGTGCTTGTGTCTGTGTTATCTGTGTGCATACTCTTGTTAGTAAATTCTGTACTGTCAAGTACAGTTCTCTTAATAGGCTGCATAATGTTCTTTTGTACGTGTGGGAGCGAGGCAGTCAGGCGGATGCAGAGAGTTGTACAGTATGTGTTTCAGAGTACATTAAGAGGCTACACCTGACAGTCTGTTCCAGCGAACTGGCATTGTTTTCTCACTAGCGCTATTTAGCCACTAACAGTAGACAAAATGACAAGCAGAACAACACAACCATAAAACATCATAGCATTAAAACCGCATGCACTTGATGCACTGTGGCTGTCTCTGTCAAGGCTTTCTAAACCAAACACTAGTTTTCATTGAAGCAATTCCTCCTGCAGCCTGCCCACGTTTTTGCCAGGTTTCATCAGAGTCCTCTTCTGACAAGGTCATTTCTGTTGGTTAAAAACTCATTTGGATGCTCACAAAAAAGACCAATGCAATAAAACACTTAGACCTTTCAGAATGATCGATCAAACCATAGATGTCCAGTATTCCAAATCTGCTTTTTTATATACTTGTCATCAAGTTCTAAATCATCTGTCTTCTAATCAAAAGTCAAGATGCTTTAATAACATCTGTTAAAGAGATAGTTCACCCAAAATTTTGAAATTTGTGACCCTGGAGCACAAAAGCAGTCATAAGTAGCACGGGTATATTTGTAGCAATAGCCAACAATACATTGTATGGGTCAAAATGATCCATTTTTCTTTTATGCCAAAAAATCATTAGGATATTAAGTAAAGATTATGTTCCATGAAGAGATTTAGTACATTTCCTACCGTAAATATATCAAAACTAAATTTTTGATTAGTAATATGCATGGCTAAGAATTTCATTTGGACAACTTTAAAGGTGATTTTGCTCAATATTTTGTTTTTTTGTGTGTCCTCAGATTACAGATTTTAAATAGCCAAATGTTGTCCTGTCCTAAAAAATCATACATCAATGGGAAGTCTATTTATTCAGCTTTCAGATGGTGTGTAAATCCCAATTTCAGAAAATTGACCCTTATGACTGGTTTTGTGGTCCAGGGTCACATTTGTCATCATATTCTCAACCTTATGGAACACAAAAGAAGATATTTTGGAAAATTTCTCAGTGTTTTTGTCCCCACCATGCAGTGAAAGTCAAATATTTTAAAGCATTCTATTCTATTCTATTCTTCTACTTTGATTCCATAACCGCACTCATGTATTTCATTTTAACAAGTTGTTATTGTATTGTGCAACATGTGCAATGTATATTCATCCTTTGAAAGACATCCTCAGCATTGTGAATTCCACGATGCATGCATAAATCTTCATCCTTCAACACAGACAGCTTTCTCAACTACAGAGCTTCAATAATAGATCAAAAATGAGGTTCTCTTGCTCACACTCTCTTTCTTGTGCGAGTGTGGCAGGTGTGTGGATGCAGCCCCCTGTATGCCGTTAAATTATAAAGAGCCCTCGTAGAGTTCAGGAGACAACCCTGACCTCCGGTAACAGCAGGTTTGAGAGAGAGCACCACATGAGTTCTGCAGCAGAATCAACATGGTGCCAATAGCCGATTCCAAATCAGTGGATTGTTTTAGCACATGGTGTGTGATTGGCGTAGCTTTGGTCTGAGATCAGCTTTCTTGGTTTACTGTTATGTGGAAATTGAGGGCTTGTGGATGCACTGTAAGTTTCACTCTAACTCTTACTTTTGCCAAGTCAGGGAGTGTCAGAGCAAGAGAAGATACCGGTTATCAGCAGGGATCAAGCTGTTGATAGATACTTGGCTGTCTTTCTGACTCTGGGCTTTGAGCTTAATACCACACAAACATCTGTCTCTTGAATCTTTAGTGGTGGGAAACAAAAGCTGATGAATCCATAGTAGCCTCTTGGCTGTTTATAGTGATTTAATGTCATCTTGCTCACCGCTAACATTTGCACTTCTTACTTCAACTTAAAGGGTCACACCAAAATGACTTTTTAGGTTATAATT